TACTGTCCTGTCTCCCCTTTGTGCAGAGCCCCAGAAAGCAGCTTCCCCAGAAGAAGAGGTAACATGTGGCTCAGGAATAGTTCTCAGTGTTTAGTCCTGCTGGAAGCCTCCAGCCTCATGCTAAAAGCCTGCTGAGGGACCATCTGGGTATTTGGCAGATTAATACCCTGTTTTCCCTTGACTTCCTACACAACTTACAGGAGGGCTGACAGTTCCTGAGCAGGAGCTCTCCTGAAGCAAATACCAGCTTGTTTGCTCTGGATGACAGACCCAGGCTCAGAGCATCCTTTGTGGCTCTGCACACCTAGGGCAAGGAAGGGAGAGCTCAGCCTCAGCTCCTTGAGAAGGTGGTAGAGGCCCCATCCCTGGCAACATTCAAGGTCAGGTTGGATGGGGCTCTGAGCAACCTGATCTAATTAAAGCTGTCCCTCCTCACTGCAGGGGGGTTGGGCTAGATGACCTCTAAAGGTCCCTTCCAACCCAAAGCATTCTATGATTCTATGATTAATTACTTCAAGGGCAGGTAGAAGATGCGGGCAGCGTCTGCCTCTAGCACTGTAGCTGTCAATCAGGTTGAGCTTTCCTGCACTGGGTTAGTTACTGTCCCCATAGGAAGTGGATGAAGTAATGTCTCCCCTCCTGAGCCCTGGGGAGCAAAACTTGCTCTCTGCCAAATTCGGGTTATTCCTGTATGGGAGAAGAGAGCAGCTAAATATGTTTCTTCAGTGCAGCACACTAGGAGCACCAGAGAGCTACCATGATGTGTGGTTTAGGTTGACCAGTATCTGCCTGTGTGAACTGCCTCTATGGCCGCTAGCCATACTAGTGTCTGGAGCGAGCAGGATTAGCAGATCTGTGATCTTCCCCTTCCTTTGAGCCCGCACAAACGCTTGTAGGATAGATGTGATTTCCTTAGGGCAATGTAAGAAGCAAAAAAACCAAAAAAACTTTCCTGGTTAGATCTCAAAGAACTGAATGGGAATTGCTCTTAGTGTGGCAGCAATGCTCAGGGTTACAGGGGGGTATCAGAGGTGGATCTAGGTCTTCTACCCTACAGAGGATACCCTGACCCACTGCCCTGAGATGCCTCTGTCCTTGGTCTGCAGCAGCAGAAGCCGCTGGAGCTGCAAGTGATAACTGCCAGCTTGAGAAAACACTGTCATTTAATCTCAAATGGGGAAAATGAGGCATGAGATCACTGGAAAAATTAAGGCATATTTAAAACCGACTAATTAGGGAGCTGACGTGGAGCTCTTTAGTC